AAAAACGCAAAAAAAACATGTCAAAAAAACACCACTTTTTTGAGATATTTCAATTTTAGTACTTTGACTCCATTTTTAGAGGCCCCAATGGGGTCAAAGTGGGTAGGTGACTTCACAATTTTTGTAGCCCCATCAATTATCTTTCCAACGGTACCAATGGTTTAGTAATGTGTTAACTACTTCTTAGTTAGTTTTCAGTTGGCGCAAACCCTTTTTTCGATTTTTTCAATTTTTCGAAAAATTCACACTGGGTGAACTCAAAAATGTAGGCCACTTACAGGCCTAAGATTTTGGTTTCCTCATTTTCTACCAAAAACAAGACTCCAAACAAATTTTCAGCCAATTCGTAGAGGGTCGATCCAATTCTTGGTCGATTTCGTGTGGAATGGTCGATATATAGTATAACTTTTCCGAACACACCGTGTAACGGGAAAATATTGGAATTGGTCCCGAAAACTTTTTCGTAAAATTGGCTTAGATCATCATAAAAAGTTTTTATTAAAAACTCATGAAACGTGTAGAAAACACATTTTTGGGACTTTCCGTTCGTATGCCGTCGTCGTCGTCGTCGTCGTTGGTATGTGTTAACACACGATAACTCAAAAAATAATTGAGATAATCAAAATCTGGAACTCCCAAAAATTTTGTATCCGAAAAACTTAGTTTAAGTTCGAATATGAGCCTTTTTTGATTTGACCCTGGGGTACTTGACCAGGAAATCCCCCAAAAACGCCAATTTTGTATAGGGTTCATAAATCGACTCCGATTGGCCTCGAACTTTCTGAAGTTTCATTCTTTGAAGAAAAAAATAAGATTCTGAAAGTTTCATGTTGATCGCATTTGAACAAGTTTGGTTTTCGGTCTTTCCCTGGAAAAAATTGAGGACCAAAAATCAAATTGAAAGTGTCAAAATTTCGACTGAAATGACCGATTTTCACTAAAAAAAATTGCCTTTAATTCAAGCAAATTAAATAAAAAACAAAAGTACGGACAACAGTACGGAAAAGTTTGGGATTACGAATGTAATTCTTTTTATTTGATTAGAAAGCCCCGCCGCTACTTTTTATGACCTAATACACTATGCAGATAATTTTGATTTTGTATCAACAATAACGCTTTCAAAGCAGATTCGAGCGGATCTATTGCGACCTAAACTGGCATCACTATAAAAATGTATTTATCCAGAGTTCTGCGAATCATATCGCTCAGAAGGAAATCATCTCCTGGCATGAAGACACATATTAGGAATAGCGTTTGGATTTTCAATTTTTTGGTCTATCGTTTCAAAAGTTAATGTTAAAAATGTTGGTTTACGAAAAAATTAACTTGGATTCTAGTAGTGATTAGCGTTCAATTAGCCCTGTGCGAGACTGTATTAGATGATTACGATGAAAATTCAGATTTGGGCGAATACGAATTGATTTTTGCTCATGTCGTAAGTTCTTTATTTCTTTTTATCAAATTGAAAAATGACTCCAGTGTTTGTTTCATGAATTTCTTCAAATTTTCTTGGATTTTTCGTATTCTTTCGCCGATAGATTTACAGACACGGTGATCGCAATGTGATGGAATCTTATCCTAATGATCCGTACAACGATGAAGAGTTTTGGGACAATGGCTTTGGTGGATTATCGAATGTAACCGATGCATGCAATTCCTTATAACCTTTTTTCTTATTATAGAGTATAAATTTGAGTTTCTTCTCACCATATTCAAATCAAAATAGTTAATCCCGTTTAAAATCTGTGTTTTTTTCAGTTGAGCAAGCGGCAGCAATACGAGTTAGGAAAATACTTACGTGCACGTTATCAAAAACTGATTGGAGCACATTATTCCCCGAAAAAAGTGTACATCCGCAGCACAGATGAGGATAGAAATCTACAAAGTGCCCAATGTAACGCAGCTGGAATGTTCAACCCAACTGGAGATGAAGTCTGGAACAAACTCGGATGGCAACCGATACCAATACATACAGTGCCACTCAGCGGTTTATTATAACAGTTTTTTGATTTGCTTGCTATTATTTTTATTTTATTATTTTATTTTTACTGCTAGATGACTATTTGCTGAATTCATTTGTCCCGTGTCCTCGATTCGATCAAATGTTCCGACAGTGAATGGATTCCCATGAAATTAAATCATTATTGGACAATCACACCAATTTAGTACGTTTTATGGAAAAAAGTTCCGGATTAAAGCTAACAGAACTGGTGGACGTCTTGAATTTGTACAATATTATTTATGTCGAAAATCTACAAGGGCTTGAGTGAGTACTGATTGCTATGATTTCAACCTGAAAGAGAATTGTATTAATTAAATCCGAATCGTCTTGTAAAAAACTAGTCTTCCAGAGTGGGCCAAAATAACACTGAAATCAAACGATACGCTGGACTATAGGAGCGATAAATTATCAGTCGGTGACACATTCGGTTGAAATGAAGAAAATAAGAGCTGGCTTCTTGATCAAGGAAATGTTGGACCGTTTCAAGAATAAGACTTTATCTCTCCTTACACCAGATCGTACGGTTTACCTTTACGCGGCTCATGGAAGCGTCATCTCGAACGTATTGAATTCACTCAACTTATTTGATGTAAGTTAATTTCAATGAAATATTTCAAGTGTGTGTATTAATTGATTCAACTTGAAACATTATTTAAACTTAATTTTTTCGCATTCCAGGTGAAAATACCACTGTTTTCATCGAGCATTCTATTCGAGTTGCATCAACGTGACACCGAATACTTTGTTCAAGTAACTTATCGAAAAACAGTATCAGAAAATGCATCATCATTCGAGATACCAAATTGCGGAACCATGTGTCCATTGAATAGATTCTACGATGTATAAGGATGTTATACCTCAGGAAGGCGAAAGCTATGAATCTCTCTGTCGGTTGAATCTCTCTGTTGCTTCAAATAATGTTAGCCCATATCTAAAGAACATTTGTGTACTCTTAGTTTTACTTTTAATTCTCTTTCGGTCATACACATAACACTATGCTACTATTCGCTTGACTGAAATATGTAAGTACTCCAATCTTTTTTTTCTTATTTATGCAAAAGCGAGTTGATTCCTTTAAAAAACGTTCGATGCATTTGATCACACAAACGCTAGATGGCATTTTGCATTTTTGACACTTGTCTACCAACTTTGAAATATTTTGCATATATAACAAATATTGACAAATAGTAGACAATACATTCAGTATGCTTGTCATAATAACACAGAAATGTCTATGTTCCAGTATGAATGTTTGACGAGTATCACACAGACTGTTGTGTGATAACGGCCGAAAAAGACAAAGGAGAAGCAAAAGTCATATCATTCCGTGTCGTTTCCTTGCCGAAGTAAGACTAAAAATGATTCTTTTGAATGGTATAATTTTTATTTTGCTAGGAATAAATATTCAGTTGGTGGTTTGCAAAAAAAGTCACGAAAATTCGTTTGAAATCGCTAAAAATCAATCGGAAGAGTATCAATTGATATTTGCTCACATTGTAAGTGGATGTGTTGATTGTTAGATTTTGTTCGTGAAACAATTATTTATTATGATTTTAACATTGATCAATAGATTTATCGTCATGGCGAGAGGAACATTTTTCGCGCATATCCCAAAGATCCGTACAAAGATGAAAGTTTATGGCCCGGTGGTTTCGCCCAACTCACGAAGGTACAAGTGATTATAATTACTATTGTGATTTGTGCTACATAAAAATGCTATCAAACGAACTGATAATAATGCTGCTTGAACAAAGAAAAATTATTATCATAGGCTATATAAAAACGGACGGGAGTGTTTGGAGGTTGGACCCAATAAAAAAAATGATTTCAATAAAAATGTCATCGAATAATAGAAAATTCAAGATGACAACATTTTGAATAGAACAAAAAGTGCAAGCACTGCAAGATGCTGGTGTTCGGACAAATAAATCACTTGGCTTTGGATTATGGTGTTTCAGATTCAGCTATTAGTTACATTAAATCGAACGAATATGAAAATATGTCTGCAGTCAAGTGCCTATCATGAAGCAAAAAAAACACTCTCAAGCGAATCAATAACACTGTTTATTCATCGATTCTGTGCAGTGACTTTGATGGCGCAGATTTATAATGGTCAACAATTCCTTGAATTTCATTGAATTATTTGTGAAAAATAGTTTTTATTCAGACGAAGCAAATGTTTGAATATTGTTAACTGGTTTAAAAGTGATATTTTTATTAACCCTTTATCACATTTCGGTTCCTAAAGTAACCAGATACGCCAGACGCTATAGCTATGAAACCACTGAATATTTTTACATTCGTGTTTGGAAACAAATGTAGGGAAATGAACTAGCTTACATTTGATACTTTACAGGCTACAATCGGCTGGCTGAATGGAAAGTTTTTTCTGTTCATGTACTGCTATAAAAAAAAGCGAAATTATAGCAGAATTCCACATTTTTCCTCCTCTTATCTTGTGGGTTTGTTCATTCTTTTCAATTGTCAAATTAGGACTCGTAGGACCAAAACACATCAATTTAACTTTCTGCATCATTAGTTTTATGAAATTTAATTTTTTCAAGCTTTTATAGCGATTTGACACTTTTGACTCTTTCCCGATTTTCTCGACAAATACGCAATTTTTCAAAAATCTAAGTATGAGGTCTTTCTCTATTTATCGTGGCACAAAACATATATCAAAATGATTCAAAAACAAAAAATTGTGCATCAAAGGGTTAACAAATGAAGTTTTGATATTCGAAAAGTGCATTTTATGCGATACATTATACATAGCATATGGGAAAATTTTATTAGAAAAATTTTACCTTCAAAATTAAAAGGTTTCAGAAATAAGAAGCCTTTTGGCGGGCTATACAAAATTAGCTATGAAATATGAACCCGACGCTACAAATCCACATGCCTGGTATTGTTTGATTCAGAGAAATATGAATGAAAATATCTCATAATAATCTCTGGTTTGATTCGTATGGTCGTACGCTATCGTGTGATACATACTTGATCAGTGTGAGTCGTGCGGGTAGTGAGCTAGGGTCTTTGAGTGGCTCGGAAAAGCGGTTTTTTCGAAATTAATTATTTTGTTTGAGTAACGCCAACGCCGGCGAGTGAGATGCCCTCTTTTTGTTATTTCCTGGCGCCGGGAATTTTTTTATGATAAAATTGGAGTTTTTTCTCCACGAATCAACCAAAATTTCCCAAAATTTTCCATTTTCACGAGGGTTTTCCCATCATTTTTTGACGCCCGCAAAAAGGCGGTTTCATGCAGGAAAGACGTATTTTTTTCGAAGATTGAAAATTTTTAGAACTCGAATTGCAGTGGTAATATTCGATATGCATTAGGGTGGTGCGATTTTTAAAATCGTACAAATTCAAAAATGGACA